AAGAAAATTAGGTATGGTACGGATACGTTCTAGTGTTCACGAGGAGTACGCGGTAGTCACATCATAGTTTAGCGATGAGAGAAAACGATGATTCGAGGCTACAGAACGAAATCTATACGAAAAGAAAATGCGGTCAATCTCATTTTCCATGCTGATATAAAACATTCCGATTGTACCGCGTTGGGCAAATCGATTTTCTCTGTTGATTTATTTTGGGAGCCGGACGATCGATACGGACCCATCACCTGCGATGATTGCGTTTCGAAAGCAATTTCGTTCCATTTCATCGTCATAAATAGTCTTCGAGAAGGTCACGCGTCAAATGTACACGGTAAGGCGATGCTAATGTTCTCCGACAAGTCTTGCACTTTTTTTTTTTACGAACGAAGAAAAGTTATTTTCAGAAAATGGTCTGATCTATTTTTTTTATTTTTTAAATAAGCTCCACGAGAATCCTCTGCTCCATTAGCCAGTTCGAACACTTCATTTGCATGTAACCTCACGCTTCATCAAACTCCAGCGTGACGCCTGGAAAATGTTCATTGAATTTTCTCTTCTCGTCAATTATAATTGCTCCGAAGCTACGAAGGGGTCTTCAAAATTTCCCTTCGACTTCGTTAAAATTTATTTTCTCACCAGCGTTGCGATGAAACTTTCTTGAAACTCAACACCCGCATCTTCGAAAAAGAACACACTCCAAGTGAAATTCAACTGATCTACTCTCTTCAAGAAAATCGATGTATCTGAGTATTTTTCACGAGAACACTATTTTTTTTGCAAACTACCATGCCATCAAAGAGATTAAGTAAAAAAAGAAAGACATAATGAATTTTGATTTTCTCGTGTTCACCTTCTTCGGATAACCAATCATTATCAATTTTCAAAAAGATCGAGAATTAGATTCGCTTGCTCTTGAAAACCTTCGGTCGGATGGATCCAAAGTACACAGCGTAGGCTTTCAACGCGATACCGATCTCTTCCTACCCTCGGAGCAATACGAAATTGCGGCGATCGTGAAAATCTCTCTCAGATACACGTGTACGTACGATGGGAAAAAAAAAAAAAAAAAAAAAAATAGAGAATAGGCATCTCTATATTTGATCGTGGTAAGCTCAAAATTCGATTCCACAACCGGTTATAACATCTAACGGTTTGTCAAAGTGGCGAGCTAGCAAAGCGCTGGCCGACGATTTTTATCGGTAACGTGAAGCATCAGAGTAGAACTCAAGGATGTAATATATATTATAAATCGACATCTCCACTCGATTTTGTCTCCCTCCACAGATACACGGTAAATCCAAATCGTTTAAAACCAAATCGATAATTTGCCTATTATACTTAACTAAACTTTTTGTTCCCTCGACAATCGACATAAATACACTTGGGTCGTAGAGAACGAAACACTTGGATGTGCGTTGAATCGGTTACTTTACTATATCCGGTTGTCCTTCAAACTCTTATCAACATATCTACGCCTGCAGCCATGCATTTTGTAAAAAAAAAAAAAAAAAAAAAAAATTCCAAAGTGACTGTACGCGCTTTAAACGTGTACTTGAATATAATCATGTACACAGATAACAGATGTAAGCGCCAATTGGATAGAGGAAAAAAGAATTAAAGTCCAACCGGCAGCGGCCGATCGCGGGTGAATCACCTCCGCAAGATCGTACCACATACAGGTATACGTGTACAAGCACGGGCTCCTCTTCCCTTTCTCGATTCGTATACTTACTTACACACGTACAGGTTTAACTTGGAGCCTAGCACCTTCGCCTATATACTTACCATCGAGGTGATCGCACGCGAGCGAGTTCAGAAAATACCTGTATTGGATACTATACTCCCCGTGAGCGAGAGAGTGAGCCTTCCTTCCGCGATCCATAGAAAGTTAGTCCGCTCGCCTGCGCGTGTACATACATATATATATATGCGAAGTCGCCCCGTGATTTTCTACATCACGATCACCGAGTGCGGCGTTTTTTATACTCCTGATCCTTCTTCCCCCCCCCCTCAAGGATACAAACATCAGTCGACATTGAACGTTTGATTGTTTTGTTCCAATCTTCGGTCTTGCACGGATGGTTTTTTTTTTTTTTTTTACTCTTTGCTGGTACACACCAGCGATTTCTAGCTTGTACGAAAATTTGACGAAGAAAAAGTGCGCATCCCGTACCGAGCCAACATAATATTATGTCCATCGTGCATTACGTAAAAGGTGCGTTTGTCGGGAGTATACTTGCTCGGAATAACAATGATCTTGTCTCTCGCGTGTAACATCCGAGTCCTCGATGACGGGACGAGTGTTCGACGAGTTGTCTCTGTTGAATTTATTTTTACATTTATATATACATGTACCGAGACACGTAATGATATGCATGAATATTGCGTGCAACATTAGCACACGAGGCTTATTTTTTTTGCCCGCAAATCGATATCAAAGTAATTTAATGGCTTAGAACCGCGCTAGCTCGTACGTATATCGTTAGTAGTGCTATAATGTCAAGTGTCGAGTGCCAATGTCACGGATATCTTTACACGTATGTGCGTTCGATACCGTTATTCTATTGCGTAGTGAAGACTAAACAAAATAAATAAATAAATAAATAAATTCAATTCTCGTTGTATTTTAATTTAACTCGTGATGTGTAAGGTAATTTTTTTTCTTTCAAGGCACTGTAACGTTTCTTTTTACTATTCAAAAATGACTCTAGTGATAGCAGTTGTAGTTATCTTTTTGCTGATTAAGGATATTCGATTATCGTGTGACATATTTTTAATTTCACTCGACCACAAGTGGTTTATATAGAATATTATTAGATATTTGAAGTATAGCAACAACAAATTCATTGTTTTTGCGAAAACGATTCAGTGTTGAAGGTTTCACTTTTTCAAAAATTCATGGAATGATATTTTCTTTACAAATTTAATTGGAGAACTTTTAACAATAAATAGTCATTTGAGGAAAACATTCGTTAGATGCTTCTGTTCGCACTTGTGGCGAATATTGAATATTCAATTGACCTGCAACAAATGAACGGGTACAGCGAACGTAATTTAAAAACGATTTGATTGTCAGTTGATGCTAACCAAGACGGATATTTTTAAGCACGAAAATGTTAAGGACAGACACTCATATACGTATTGGCCGTGAAGCTATTGTTATCTAACTTTACCGACACTTTTTTCAGCGACACGTTTAAAAACCAATAAAGATAATAACCCAGTTCGGGCGCGTGGTAAAACGTTTTATATTTTCAACGGAAGTAGCGCAGAAATATACGTTTGTGTGTATGATTGATGCTCGCAGGAGAGACTCCGAGTTGCAAACAATTAAATTGAAGTGAAATCGGATGGATGATGCTCCACTTGTGTCGCACTCGTACTAATGAGCGCTAACAATAACTCGTCACGGAACACAAACACGCACCTATTAACAAATCCTTATTTATGTTTACCACCTTCCCCGCACATTCTTGTACCATCACGGATAGCTATATTGACATTGCGCTGGAACATCATTATTTTCTCAATTACACATTTTTTTTTTGGCCCAATTCGTGTATAGTCGAATCGAAAACCAAACCTGACAAAGAAAAGCATGTTTTTACCACTTATTCTCTTGTATCGCGCTCCGACAGAGACAGGTGGAAAAACACGCCCAAGTGTTGGTGACCATCTTCGGTTACCACTTGACGAGTCTACTTGCACGTTGCATACCTAATTCTCGTATATATAATATATTAGGTATATGCCGATCTTTTCCATTTCGAATCACTGCGTCGAACGAACGAGCGCGCTGCACGTGCCTGCCTTGTACGCGTGTGGTTTATATATACATCATCTCCTTAATCGTCGATTTGGAATGTATTCAACCTCACTTTCTAAATCTTCTCTTTTCTCTTTACATGTGTATGTGTGAGCATACCCATGCAAGTGTGTAAATAACAGTTGATGTCGATTTTTTTTTTTTTTCCCAACTGTCATCGTGAGCAATTATTAAAATCAAAAACTAACAAGTTTAAAGCAGAAGGTACGCGTATGTGTACCAATAAAATTAATTGTGTTGTTCACAGAAACGAGTCCACGTTGCGCGCGTGGCTTTTTTATTTTCCATCCAAAAGCGCATTCCACAACTCCACTTTCGTTATTAACAGTTGTATAGCGCGTATAAATGCTTGTACAAGCATTTTTGGGGTGAGAGAAAGTTGGCTGCGAAAAAACGTGTCACCACTTCTTACTTTTCGCTCGCTACGTTAACTTTTTTTTTTTTTTTTTTTTTTTTCGATCCCAATTTAGCCGCGATAATCACGTTTTGCGAAAGATTGCGTTATTTAACGTATGTCCACCACGTACCAATCGACATTTAGAACCTTTCGGTCAACGTAATTGTTTCATTCCAAAAACAATGCTTCGACTCGTAAAAATCATACCTATAGACATACCCAACCTATATATAATCAATTTATCGTACCATTTCAAAGCTCCCACGTCATTTTCAAAGATAACATTTTTGTACAGTTGTTACTCAGCACCGATTCGAAATATCGTTTTTTTTTTTTTTTTTTTTTGTAAGCCTAGTACACCCGTGTGCACTTGTTATTCTCGTAAAAAAAGTACGATGCCAAGTCTAGCGTACACAGAGAGGCAGCGATTCAATTTAAACGAGGAAAAGCCCCCCCTACGCACCGTGAAAGTTTTATTAATCATAATACACGAGGAGCAGGAGCGCGGGACATAGCGTATTAATTTACTTTCGTTCGCGTGTCCAGGGCAATTTTATTGCGTGCTGCACGATTTATCGGTATACGTATATACTTAGACAAAAAAAAAAAAATAAATAAAAAGTACAGTTGTCTATCCATCCTCGCAATGATGCAACCCCTAACCCCCGTTGCAACCAAACCACTGCACACCGCCTTTATAAACTTCCCCTCTCAACCTCGAATATTAAAAAAAAAAAAAAAAATTTCGTATATATATATATATATGCATGTACGAACCTTCAGTTTGTCGTACGTGGTCTCGAGCTCGAGCCGGTGTACGAAGGGGTTGAGGATTTCGCTGCTGACCGGCCGACCCTCCTCGGCCATAAGCGCGCCACCCTCGCTCTTCACGCCCCCGCCGTTTTTCAGCTTGCCGTTGCTCTCCTCCATTATACCGTCACCCACCACCATTGTCTCGATCTCCTTGCTCGAGTACCTCATGTTTCCTTATTCTTTCCGTAATTACTTTCTCACGATGCCGATTGCCTTTTTTTTTTTTTTTTTTTTTTTTACATAGGGGGTAAAAAGAAAATAATTTAAAAAAAGGAAAAAAAAGAAAAACAACCACTGTCGCGTCAGCAAATTTCAATAAGTCGCAGTTTGCCGAATGAAGTCACGTTCCTTGGACATGCTGTACACACACGTGTAAGTAATTGTATTAGGGGAGAAAAAGACGTAGCAAGTACAATGCATGCAGTTGCAATAGACGTCAACAAAATGATCCATGTAGGTACACGTCACTTTTGTACGTGAGCACCAAGTGTGAACACACACACACACACACACACAAAATAGAGAGAGAGAGAGAGAGAGACCCCCCGATGTGCCGGATCGATGGTCTAGACTCTCAACAACATGTACACACAGCCGCCGCCGCGCTACCCTTCGGCGGAGGGTTGCTTCGCGGAACGATAGATCGCACAGCCACCCATGCCCCTCGATTGTTTAACCCGACAATATTTCGCTCTGCTCCGGTGGACACATGCTTATCTATCTATCCCAGCACTATACGTGCGATGACCGCCTCGCGGGGGGTTGTTGATTTGATACCGAAATCGCGCTTCCGACTGAAGTAAGCGTTATACATCCGGAGCTTGCACGCGCCTCGATTGTATAGATGGAGAGTGGTCGGCACGTATAATATATAAATGCACTCGGCGCATCGGCGCCGCTGCCGTGGTGGTGTGGCGACGAGGAGTGCGCGGGTACTGATGCGCGCCGCGGCTCAGGTGTACAACGTGTGCCGCGGAGAGAGCGGAATATCTCCCTACCATTTGGATATGGTTTTTTTTTTTGTCGCGATACCGGTGGAGGGGTCTCGTGGGTGTGTATACACATCTGTAAGACGCGAGCGGAAGATCGGGATGGTTGATCTTTTTTTTGCTCTTTCGGCGCGGAGGGAGAGCATTGTCTTCTTTTTTTGGAAAATCACCAATAATTTGTACGAGTAGCCGAAGTTTACAAGTTTTTTCTCGCGTTACTCGTCGAGTGTGATGGTTGCCGTAAGAGGTTTGTCAAATCGTTCATGAAAAAAATCAATACAAACGCTTTGCTTAAAAAATTAATTTTCTTTTTTTTTTCTTTTTTTTTTCATT